AGATATTGAAAACCTATTTGAAGAAATAATGACAGAAAACTTCCCCTACCTGGTGAAAGAAATAGACTTCCAAGTCCAGGAAGCGCAGAGAACCCCAAACAAAAGAAATCCAAAGAGGACCACACCAAGACACATCATAATTAAAATGCCAAGAGCAAAAGACAAAGAGAGACTCTTAAAAGCAGCAACAGAAAGAAACTCAGTTACCTACAAGGGAGTACCCATACGAATGTCAGCTGATTTCTCAACAGAAACTTTGCAGGCCAGAAGGGAGTGGCAAGAAATATTCAAAGTGATGAATGCCAAGAACCTATAACCAAGATTACTTTATCCAGCAAAGCTATCATTCAGAATTGAAGGTCAGATAAAGAGCCTCACAGATAAGAAAAAGCTAAAGGAGTTCATCACCACCAAACCAGTATTATATGAAATGCTGAAAGGTATCCTTTAAGAAGAGGAAGAAGAAGAAAAGGGTAAAGATACAAATTATGAACAACAAATACACATCTATCAACAAATGAATCTAAGAATCAAGTGAATAATCTGATGAACAGAATGAACTGGTGATTATAATAGAATCAGGGGCATAGAAAGGGAATGGACTGACTATTCTTGGGGGGGGAAAGGGTGAGGGGGATGTGGGAAGAGACTGGACAACAATCGTGCACCTATGGATGAGGACAGTGGGTGGGGAATGAGGGAGGAGGGTGGGGTGGGAACTGGGTGGAGTGGAGTTATGGGGGGGAAAAGAGGAACAAATGTAATAATCTGAACAATAAAGATTTAATTAATAATAAAAAAAGAACGTTAAAGAGAAAATAAAATAAAATAAGAATAATTTATAGGGATTCAACAGTAGAGTAGAGGATTCTGAGAATCAAATTAACAATCTGAAATATGAGGAAGCAAAAAACACCCAATTAGAAGAGCAAAAAGAAAAAAAATCAAAAAATATGAAGATAATGTAAGGAGCCTCTGGGACAACTTTAAGTATACCAACATTTACATTATGGGGGTGCCAGCAGGAGAGAGAGAGCAAGATATTGAAAACCTAGTTGAAGAAATAATGATAGAAAACTTCCCTTACCTGGTGAAAGAAATAAACTTACAAATCCAGGAAGCACAGAGTGTTCCAAACAAGAGGAATTCAAAGAGGCCCACAGCAAGACACATCATAATTAAAATGCCAAGGGCAAAAGACAAAGCAGCAAGAGAAAAGCAGTTAGTTACCTACAAGGGAGCACTCATACTGAATTCTCAACAGAAACTTTGCAGGCCAGAAAGGAGTGGCAAGAAATATTCAAAGTAATGAATAGCAAGGACCTACAACCAAGATTACTTTATCCAGCAAAGCTATCATTTAGGACTGAAGGTCAGATAAAGAGCTTCACAAACAAGAAAAAGCCAAAGGAGTTCATCACCACCAAACTAGTATTACATGAAATGTTGAAGGGTATTCTTTAAGAGGAAGAAGAAGAAGAAAAGATTAAAAATATGAACAATAAAATGGCAATACATATCTATCAAAAATTAAATCTAAAAATCAAAATAAATGAGCAAGAAATCTAATGAACAAAATAAACTGGTGAATAAAATAGAACCAGAAGCAAGGTAAATACTTTCATAACAGACTGACAAATCTCAGAGGGAAGAGGGTAGAAGGGGCAGAAAGAGATTAACCAAAGAACTTGTATGCATATATGTATTATCTATGGACACAGACAATAAGAGTGGTGAATGCCTGGGGCAGGAACCAGGTTGAGGGGGGCAATGGGGAGAAAAAAAGAGCAACATCTGTAATACTCTCAACAAAAGATTTATTTGAAAAAATTAAGAGGCAAAAAAATAGTACACACTGGGAGAAAACATCTGCAAAACATACAAGGGTGGGCAAACGTAGGTTTAGAGTTGTATGTGAAAGTTTATTCTTGTATTATTACTTATTTATGAATTATTGTATTATGTATTATTAACCTATTTTTGCCCACCCCTGTAAATGTGATCATTTTTATCTTACCTCCTCCAAGTCATTAGTACCACTTCTAGACTACCTTATTTACAGAATTACTCATTTTGATGAGCAAACTATCAAAAAGATACATTAGGCAGATTTTCAAATGGAGAATATGAAAAAATTCTGGAGATACTGATAGTTGCATAATGCAAATGTACTTAATGCCACAAACTGTACACGTTAAAATGGTAAATTTTATTATGTATATTTTACCACAATAAAAAAAATTTTGTTTTTAAATTAGGGAGCCCTGGCCAATGTGACTCAGTTGGTTGAATGTTGTCCCTTGCACCAAAAGATCACAGGTTCAATTCCCAATCAAGGTCCGATCCTCAATCCCTGGTAGGAGGTGAGCAAGAGGCAGCCAATAAATGTTTCTCCTTCACATCAATATTTCTCTCTCTCTCTCTCCTCTCCTCCCAATCTCCCTTCCTCTCTCTAAAATCAATAAAAACAATGAAAATATTTTTTTAACATTAGGAGGAAAAAAATCTAAGAAAACACATAAACCCATAAAGAAGTTACATTCTAAAACAGTTCCTTTTGGTTTGAACTATAAAAAAGATGATGTTTCTTTGAACTGTGCTCTCACAAAATCAAGCATAGAAGTAGTTATTAGATATGATTCTACCAATTAAAATGTGCTTACCAACTCTTTTAGAGTCTACTTGCAATGTTTAGAGCGCCACCAAAGTACAGTTTTAACATATAACAGTTTAACTGAGTTGTCTACAGTAGACAGGAAAAATACTGGAAGACAAGGATCAGATCAGAGCACAGGTCCCAAACGGTTCTGCATTTGGTGGCCTAAATACATGTCATTGTGTCATCTAAATTAATCTGCAAACTGACCTTAGCACAAATAATGAAAACATGCTAACAGAAGCCCTAAAGTGGCTCTAGTCTGGGGTTAAGTAAGGGTACACAAGAACTGCCAAAATAATCAAATTTCATGTTATTTAGGGAAAAGAGAAAGCCAGCTGTGCAATTCGCTGTGGATAAACTACAGTGTGACTGGGGCTATAGATTTGTCAAACATAGCTGGTATAACATTAATATTTATGCCCATAACTGATAAAATCAGAAAATTCCTGGATGTAACACCAAGGGATAGCAGAGATGTAGTAATCTATCTAAAGCTGGCAGAGCACGGTTACAGAAAAACAGTATTAACAGAAAAGGAAAGGAAAAAAAAAATACCCTCAAAAGGTACATGCCTAAACAGGAAATAATGTATATGTTCTAAGAAAGTTCTAAGTAAATCCAGGGAACAAGTTATGAGTTAGAGCCGGAATTTTAGGAGGGCAATTTCAATCTCAGGCAGAGAATGAATAATGACAGTAGCAGTTTTAGTAGCAGCAGTAGTTGGTAGCAGCAGTAAACTTATACAGTGCTTCCTGTTTGCCGGACACTAGTTCTAAGCACTTGTATTAACTTGTTTAATCCTTACAACATTGTGAGGCAAGCAAACCATTTCAGAGCGATGAGGAAACAGCCTCAGGCAGATTAGAGCCCAGCCGGTAGGTAGCAGAGCCGCGTCAGGCTGTCCTGCTCCATTTCCAGAGTTCTCGCTCTTATCATATTCTAGTACCTGTCTTTGGAAAATACCACTATTTGCCTGGGAACCAAGAAAGCAAAAAGGAACTGCTCTACTAATTACAGACTAGATTGGAGAGTAATATTAAAAAGAACGAGTAGAAAATGCAAAGCTTTTAACATTTATTAAAAGCCCACCATGTGCCAGCCATTTTTATATTTTAGCACAGTAGGCAACTGACTACTATAAAGTAAATTAAATATAAAGACTTATATACCCCCAAGGTCACCATAAACGTGTATTTTAGTGAAGTTATTGAATAATATATTTGAATTTAAAAGGCAAAGATATATCACAATAACCAAATGTAAAAATTAAGCACTATTTCATTGCATCTTCACAAGAATTCAAGTCAGTTCTTTCAAAAAACAAAAAAAGTAATAAGCATTTACATACCAGGCATCATGCTAGACACGGAACATATAAAAGATGAATTTATTAAAAATTAAAGAAAATGGTCCTTGTTTTCAAAAATCTTATACTCTATAATATACCCTTTGCAATTATCCCCATTTTACATAGGAAGACACTGCTCAGAAGGGTTAAAATTATCTGTGTAGGTCCAAGCTATTAAATAGCTGAAATGAGATGTGAACTCAAACCCACCTCACTCCAAAACCCTTCCTTTTTTCTCTACAGCAAGCTGATAGTGCTTCTGGGTGTAAAAACTAGAAAAAAATTTCAACTGACTTCAAATAACAAACACAGAGCTCCTGCTCTCTGTTTAATATTTTAGGACTGTTTCATGTTCGTTGAGAACCTGAAAAGGGGAAGTGTAAATTCTAGACTAAATCTTGGGTTACGAAACTCAAATTGAGTGAGCATAACACAGACACACTGTAAGAATCACTCATGCTGTAAACAGTTGAACATTTAAAAACAAGTATTGCACAGACTGCAGAGGGGTGGGCCTCTACCAGAAAAATGGAGGGGAATGTTAATTGCAGTAGTTCCCAGTCTTTGGAGCTGTAATTCCTCTCCTTTATATCTTGTAGGTGGGTAGTTGTAATAGAAACCCAGTTAGGGTCCAATAGCTGCCCTCAATACCTGCTCTGTCACAAACCCACTTATTAGGTGCATTCTATAATAAGAAAAGTATGCTTATAAAACTTTCTACTATTTACCTAATAAGTGACAAGATATTAAAGATACTGTGCTTTATAAGAGGATACTCTTCATGGTGAGATGTATTGAATGGATGCAGCTATATGCCTTTTACTTAACTTTGGATCCAAAAGTATGTATTTGAGATGGCTAAGGTTTGAGAGTGTAGCATGTATCCACTTGATCACCTCAAAACCATTAGCCTACATTTGTTAAATTATGATTTGCCCAAACTGAATTAACCAGGGATAAATGATCCCACCCCTCCCCACACACACAGACACACAGGTTTCCAGGACCAACAATTACCAGCCACCCAGATACCAAAATATTATGCTTCCAAAATCTCTTGATGTCAATTTCACACGTAGAGCAATCAAGCTGCCCTATGTGTGCCACTCTAACAGGAGCACCGTTGTTGTTTTTTAAAATAAATAATTTTGGGAAAAAAGTTAAGGAAATGACTAAGATCTTAAGAAATGAATTTAATGAGTATACAAAACTTCATCAACATATTCTAAAATTATTTAAGAACTCAGTATGTACTCTTAAAAATATACAATATAAAAGGGAATAAGGATCATCAAATATAATACATATTTAAAAATACAAAAATGAAATGTTTAAAAATACAAAAATGAAAAAGTATATGTACTTAGATGTTATAATATTATTATATGAAGATATCTGAGTAATATATAATGAAAAATATTTAAAAGCAGAATGAACTAAAGTTAGTTCTCTATCAAACTTTTCCCACTACATTTTTATAGGCCTTATCATAAAAGAAAATCTGCTGACATTTTAAAGTGTAAAAAAAAAGTCATTAGCAGTAATTCTCAGAATAACTTGATTGAACTCTACAAAATTACACATACAATTTTCTTTTGAGCTCTAAAATTTGCTCTGTTGTGCAAAAGATCGCCAGAACTTTTTCATCTTGAAAAACTGAAACTGCTATTTCATCTCAAGTGAGCACCAAGACATTTTAAAACATTATAGGTCAGTGTATCAGAAAGCAAAATATATTCAAATCAAAGCCCACCATGAGGACATAATTTGGACAGAGACTACAAGTATTACTGAAAATAGGTTATTTATTTATTTATTTATTTATTTATTTATTTTAAAAAATAATTTCCTTTAAGGCCAAAAATAACATCTTATTCATGTTTATGTCCACAATACATAGCTATAAAAAGCACTCAATAGCCGAAACCGGTTTGGCTCAGTGGATAGAGCGTCGGCCTGCGGACTGAAAGGTCCCAGGTTCGATTCCGGTCAAGGGCATGTACTTGGGTTGTGGGCACATCCCCAGTAGGAGATGTGCAGGAGGCAGCTGATCGATGTTTCTCTCTCATCGATGTTTCTAACTCTCTCTCTCCCTTCCTCTCTGTAAAAAAATCAATAAAATATATATTTTTTTAAATAAATAAATAAAAAATAAATAAAAATAAAAAGCACTCAATAAACATCGTTGATAGCATCAAAGGAAACTGTTTAAATATACAGTTTCATAATGTAATTCAACTTCTTCTTACCAATTCAATAAGTTGGTTCTCTAAGAACCACTACCAGGAATACTCTGTTAGCTTACATTTGCACTTATTTTTAAAAACTTTTTTTTTAATGTGCTACTAATTCAGGTTTCAAAATTCCCATGACTATGCTCACAAAGTAATTTGTTCGCATGAATGGTATATAAAAATAAGCTTTCTACTTACCATATAGTTGCCATAGGCATGATCAAACATTTCCAGTACTTGATTCCTAATTTTAAAAGAGCAGAAATAGAAAAAAGTATATTCTATTTATTGTTTTCCAAAAAGTAAATGTTCCTTCATAAACATATACCAATAAAAAACAAACAAAAAACATTTACTTGGAAGAGGACATAAGTAGAGTCAGGAAATACACCAGTGTTAGTCGACAAGCTTTCATGAACCACACAGAGCTGGGCCAAAGTTTTAGTATTCCTTCCTAACAACTCATGTAAAATTCATCTTATAATTTTTCCAAAGAAAACTGATGAATGATACATGCCATGTAGAGAAGGAAATGTGTTGCTGAAAAACAACTACCTCTTAACAAAATTATCTAACATCTATTATGAAAGGGGGGAATATTGTTGGAGAACCCCAAAAAGAAATACTATTACTTATACTATATAGTCTACCAAAAGAGAGGCATGGTGTATATATTGATATGAAATAACAATACTCTAGCAAGCCTCTGCCTCGCCCCTTAAACTGAATAAAATCATTATGCATAGTTTAATACATATTTATTAATATGTTTGTCATGTTTTCATGAAGATAGATTTGATGATTTTATGGTGTACTCTTAGCTCCTTTAAAAAAAAAACTGTCAAAAGTCAAATAAACAATATTCACCTCTAAAATGAGAAAACTAATCCTCAAAAAGAGATTTGTGTGTTTGGGCTGTTTCTCAAAATCCCCAAATTGACTGTTAAATGGAGATTTCTGATCCCCACACCAGATTTACTAAATTAAAATCTGCAAGGTTGGGACCAAGGAATCAGCCTATCAATTAAATGCTCTCAAGTTTGGGGGATTGAGAGCTACAGGAAAAACTATGAAAGTTAATATTATGGCTAAAATCTCAATAATTAGCAAGGGAAAAATAGTTTAGTAATCTTTTATTAACTCTTAATATTATTTCTAAGTTCCTAATTTAAAAAAAATGGCTAGGTGTAATTTTATTTTGCTTCTTGCTATATTGCAATTGCCAGTTTAAAATTTGTAATCATAGATGGATGAAATAATGGTAATAATAAAGCTAGCAGACAGAAACGGACTAATTTCCAGATCCTGGCTCCAATGACCAGCAAAATCAAGTACATTCAAACTAGTGAACTGAATAAAGTAAGTCCTGACAACTTTTTAAATTAATCATTTAAAAACACCTGACTACTAAAAACAAGATCCTATCACTTTGCTAAAACATTAAATCTTTGTGTTTATATGTATCAAGTTATCTCAGAATCCTTCTAGACATTCATTATATGCAGGTGATAAGGTCTCTCAAATTAGCTAATAAACCAAATAAATAAGAAGTTAAAATTTCCCTGTCAAGCAATGATATCAATAAATGGAATATGGGAATTCTTTTTCCTTCCCCTGAAATAAAATTAATATAAGATTATTGCCAAGAAGTAGAAATTCCTGTGTCAATGTTAGTGCCTACCCATGTGTATTACAGATAACACAAGCTTGAATTCATTAATCCAACTTTGCAAGCATTCAATTTTCAAGAATATGAATTATGAATGCATACAAGGACACATTCTTTTCCAATCCTTACATTTATACAGCACATGATCAGCAAATTCCACAACCCAGACTTCAAAGTGGAGATATTTGATGTTCAGTTAACTCTCTCTTTCTGTCTCTCTTACTCTAACATAGAAGTCTTAACAAAGTCACATTTAAATACAGAATGGTAGGATAATTACTATATTAAACAAAAAATATTTCTTTAAAGTTTTATATCTATTCAACAAATTGGATTAAAATGTGTTGGAAATCAAATTCACAATTTAAAAGTTATGTCTATTCATTTCAAAATAATTTCTACAAGTCAGCTTTTTCTAGTTAATTCACATTGCCTGCCAATATGCTACAGAGATTGTTTTATACTTCTTTTTAATGAAAATGTGATATTAACAACTGCTGCAACATTTAAAACACAAAAGCAAAAAACATCTTATTCCAGAAAGACTAGGTGAGTAATTCCAAAAACTATACATTATAAGCGACTGAGTAATTGCTTACTTTTGGGACAATTCGTCTTTATCACCAGTTTGGTTTGGGAGGAGAGGAAAAGAGGTAGGGCATTCTGCTTATCATAAATCATATTTGAGCTTCAAAACAAATCTCATGAGTCAAGATAAACCTCATGAGTCAAGAGTTCATTTTCCTGAAAATTTCCAGAGGGTAAAGCAGTCAAGTAATTGTGTACTTGAGGTTTATAGCTCTGGACTCTTATTCTACACTTACTCTAGAATAAGGAAATCTAAACCAACAGGCCTAATTACTGTAACTTACTTGCATAAATGTTCTCAAAATTTGATGTGAATTGGTTGGACTTTTCCAGTTAAGAATTAACGTTGGTGAAAAATGACTATTCTTCAATTAGAAGTTTTTAATAAAAAAGGGAGAAAGGGGAGTGGTGGTCAAATAAGATGCTTGAAGCTTCTTTTTCTAAGTCTTTCGGAAGTGCAGGATAGTGGAGAGAGCATGGGCTCTGAGCCCATACAGACCTGGGTTTGAATACTGCCTCCACTATCTAGTAGCTTAGTGACTTTGAACAAATCAACCTTGAGTCTCAGTTTCCAAATCTGCAAAATGGGAATCACACCCACCTCTTTAAGAAACAGGGAAGATCATAGAGATAGCATGTAAAGTGCCTGGGACAGAGTAGGATTTTTCAGTAAAACAGTTATTGATGATACATTCAATTCATAAAGAAAAAATTTAAGGTACTTATTAATTTACTGGTGATTTCTTTTTCAGAGCTGATATTTTCTCTTTTTTCCCATCGCGCTCTTTCATTGCTATTTTATTTAAAAATACAAGGCTCTTGTCCTAGCCAGTTTGGCTCAGTGGATAGCGCATCTGCCTGCGGACTGAAGGGTCCTGGGTTCCATTCCCGTCAAGGGCACATGCCCAGGTTCTGGGCTCAATCCCCAGTAGGGGGCGTACATGAGGCAGCCGATCAATGGTCCTCTCTCATCACTGATGTTTCTATCTCTCTCTCTCCCTTTCCCTTCCTTTCTGAAATTAATAAAAATATATTTTAAAAATAAAAATACAAGACTCTTGCCCAGCCAGTGTGGCTCAGTTGGTTGAGCTTCTCCCCATTCACCAAAAGGACACCAGGGGTGTAGGCTCGATCCTCGGTAGGGGGCCTGCAGGAAGCAGCCCATGGATGTTTCTCTCTCTTCCTTCCTTTCTCTCTCTAAAATATCAATAAAAACATATTTTAAAAAAATACAAGACTCTTGCAACAACATAAACAATAAGAAAGTATATAAAATAAAACCTGATGGTTTCACCTCACCTTCTAAGCCCAAAAGGTAATAAGCTTCCCATGTTTTTCTGAGCTTAGACAACTTCTTTTCTTTAGAAAAATAACACAACAACATGGGATGGTACTATACATATTATTCTACAACTTGCTTTTAAAAAAAAAATCTTGAGCATACATCCTGGATAGCCTTCCCATGATCTACCTCCTCCTTAATGTCTGAATATTATTCCATAGTACGGATACTTCAAGGAACAATTTTGTAAAATGCACACGTTTGTACAGTTATCTCAACGTTGACAGAGCTTTTACTTCTGCGGGATAGATTCCTGGAGGTGGGATCAATGAATCGGGGCTCATACGATTTAAATTCCAGGAGCGACAGACAGCAACGTCGCTCCCATCAAGGTTCATTCCTCACACCTCAGCTCTCTCCATATGTTGTGCATTTACTAACCTAACGATAAAAAGCAGCTGCCTCCTTGCTTCCAGGTGCATCTCTCCCACTGATGAGGTTGAGCTCCTTGTCATGTTTACTGACCATTTGAATCTCCTCTTGCTTCGTGAAATTAACTCTTCAAGCCCTTTGCCCATTTCCTATTGTTCTTGGCTTTTGTTGTTGTTGTTCCTTATTCATCTGTGGGACCTAAAGTGTATTAGGAATACTGACTCCGAACTAAATGCTCTAGGAGTACCTGATCATTTTACGCCACGTTCAAGACTGATCAAACGAATCTGAGTGAAGTGAACGGGTATTCCTTAATTGGGGCTTTTGAAAACACCATCGAATGAGCGTCCTCTTATGAAAACGGGGCGCAAGAAATGGTGAAACGGGTGAAGTTCACGTTCCAACCAGCGGCCCCTCTCGCCGTAACAGGTGTAAACATTATTTCCTTAACTCCTGGGAGATCGACCACGTCTCCCCAGCCAGAGGGAGCGCACTCGTGCGCAGCGCCTAATGTCATCTTCCAGGAAAAGCCACCGCAGGACTCTCCCCGCGCGGCGACACGGGCCACGGACACGGCAGCCGCGCGAACCCACCGCGCGGGCCTCCCGGAGCCGGCACTTTCCCCGACGGCCACGGCGACGCCCCGACGGTCCCCGGAGGTCACCAGGCGGGCGGCGGCCCCCACCTTCCCGGAACCTGTCCACCCGGCTAGGGCTCCCGCCAGGCCGCAGACGTCCCATCGCGGCCGGAGAGGCCGCTGCACGCCGGGTCGCAATGACAGGCACCTGGCCCGGGGTCAGCCCCACGAGGAAACCCACCCACCTGCCAAGCACCCTTACCCGAGCTTCTGTTTCTCCTCCCTGGATCATGGGCGCGGCCCCGCCGTCCCCCACGGCGTGGCCGTCACCAGGCAGAGCGCGGCCGTCGTCGCCACCAGGCTTCATGGCGCCTCCGCCTGGGGGGTTCGGGGACCCACCAGCCCCCGGGCGCGTCCCGCTTCGCTCATGGCCCCGCGGTTTCCCCGCACGCCGAGACGGCTACGCCCGGGCCGTGGGACACATTGCCGGACGCGCGTGACCAGGGGGCTGCGAGCCGTGCCGAGGGCGGGATGCGGAGTCCAGCGAGCGGCCGCCGTCGCCGAGCTGTTTCGCGAAGCCGCCGAGCCGGTCACCGGCGCCAGCGCTGCCACCGCTGCCACCGCCCTCCGCCCTCTGTAGCCTGAGCGCCTCCCCCAGCTTTCCGGTGTCGTAGTCTAGGAAACCACCTCCCCCGGCGCTACTTCCGGGTAGGGCTCCAGACGTCGAGCCTCAGGACCAATGGGGACCGGCGCGGAGAGGGGCTGGCTCCGAGGATAGGAGACAGCATTGGCCCGGAGAAGTGAGACGTGGACAAAAGGCGGGACTAAGGAGCGAATCTGTCGCTTGGGCCCGCCTCCGACCCGTGAACTTGCGACCTGAAGACTACCGGTCCCAGCGTGCACTGCTTCCTCCCCGGCGGTCCCGCAACCTGACTCCACCTGCGGAGTTTCCACTCCGGGTAGGCGCGCGGCACCCTGGGACTTGTAGTCCTCCGAGGGTCCCGGGCGGTTCCTCGGATCCCGCTTTCCGTGGCTCCCAGTGGCCAGTCCTAGCTCGGTGGAGCCAGCTCTTCCTCCCGGCCCTTGGCCAGCTCTTTAGCCCTCTTGCCGCGAATGACGTTTCCCTGAAGGCCGGCAGAATGAGGCTCACGTGTCCCTCGCTCGGTGCCACACTCTTTAGGGAACAGTGCTGGTTGGAGTAATCCTCTGTCCTTAGGGAGGTTGCAAAATACTAACAGCAATAATGACTTGAGCCTTCGAAAGCAGTACCAGTATGCTGCTAGTTTTACTGGCACTCTCTCATGCACTCTTCCCAACCAATTTGCAAGAGAAAACTCAGGCTAGAGAAGTTAGTTAGGGAACAAGCCCTTGTCACACTGCTGGGTTAGTTAAGAGTCCAACCACCCTTATGACTCTGGAACCCCCTGCATGTAACCACTGCCTAATGCCAGGAGGGTGAAGGAGAGCACCTGAGGCCTCAGACTTGATTAACAACAGTTATCTAAAAAGCTCACTGTAAGGAGAATGGTGTGAGTTGCAGACAAAGTTTAATGCAGGAGGTTGGAACTTGCCATTTATTTTTGATGACGTTGTCCCAGGTTAACCACGGGTAAAGTGAGGCTAGGGTTCCTTTTGAAAAACCACATTGTTATTCTTGTGTGATAATTCAGTGGGTAGGTGCAGCGGTTCGGAGCTTGGATGTGATCGTCGCTAAGACCACAGGAAATGGCTTACTCATCCCCTCTGCAGCATTCAGCTCTCTGTCTGGAAATGTTTCTTCCTTGATTTCGATCACCTTGCATCATCCACCTCCCTCTTAGACTGACCATTCAGGGGACACCAGTGACTCCTCTTCCTTCACTGTCTCTCTTCCCTGTACGTTAAGGTTTCCTTTCTTTTTTTTTCTCTTTATACTCTATTTCATGGTGATCTCTTCCACTCAGATGAATTCAACCATTTCCCTGTAGCTGATTTCTCAGTCAATATCTGCCTGATCTCAAGACACACATTTCCAGCTACCTAGTAGAAATTCCCTTTTGTCTGGCCCAAGGGACAGACAAGTGTCAGATGTTCACTGGTTCAAATTAATGCATCAGAATCATCTTCAACCCATCCCCTCCTTCATGGTTCGTGCCCAATCAGTTGCCAAATTATATAGGTTCTCCTTCTGCTATCACTATCTTTCTTTCTACTCCTACTTCTGGTCAGTTCCAGGCTCCATTACCTGTTTCCTGAACCATTGCAATGCCCTCCTGAATTACTTTCCTGCCAACCTACTTTTCTGTACATTGCTACCAGAGTTGGCATTCAAGGACATCTGTAAACCCTCTGAATACTTCGTCTCCCTGCTACCCTGCCCTGCTCTCAAAGCCTACATGATAAATAACCAGATTCTCATGAACTTCCTATGTTATATAGTCTCTCCGTCTTTGCTCTTACTATCCCCTCACGTACCCCACCATCTTTGTCTGTAGAACCCTCACCACCCATGAAGTCTCAGGTTCCATCTGAGACCCTCCCCAAACCTTCTGATCATTATACGTTATCCTCTCCCCTCTTCTTCCACTGTGTTCTGTGTTTTATTATTGTGCCTTTCACAGTCAGCCATGTCCACTATATTATGACTGCTCAGAGGATATTGACGTCCAGTTTATTTATATGTGTGTTCAAAACCTCAGGACGATGCCTCTCCTGTTACAGATGCTCAAAAACTGTTGGATATACTTGTTTCCTTATTCCTTCAGTTTCCTTATCTAGAAAGTAGGAGGACTATCGTCCTTTTATCTACTTACATGGAGGCTGTGAAAACACATGAGGTCACTTCTGAAAAATATTTGATTTTATCCTTTTTATGGACCTGCAACCCTCTATTGGCGCCATCCTGGATCCGCTTTGGCAGCTTTAAGGATGAAGTTAGCTAAATAAATAATACCTGTGGATTGTTCTTGGCCCTGGCACAGAGAACACGGCGAGTTAAAGGTCAACACCCATCACCCAGTATTTGAAAACTAAGAACAAAGAAAACAGAAAAATAGTCAGTGACCTTCAGTACTGACTTTTAATGTGTAGAGTTCTCTGGGTGATTTTTCCTCCCTTGGCTTATTTGTTTGTTTTCAAATTAACTCTGCATTTTAAAAGTGTATAATGAGAGCTTAAAATATGTTCTTTGTTAACTTGCTAAATAATAAGCACCTTTTTCTTTCTGGCTGAAATTCAGTTTCTAGCCAATGATTGAGTCCATTTGGAGCCTAAAAAGCATTGGAACTTTTATCCTATCCCAGGTGGAGCCCCTGGAAGTGAAAGAAAAATATGTTCCCACAGTGCATTTCAAAAAGAGAACCCATTTTAACCCTTCAATGGAAATAACAGAATTTCTCAGTTAATTGGCAGTTTATGGACACTGGGAAAAATTTACATTCGTCATTTTAAAACCCACACACGTTATTTTAGTGACGAAAATGACATAGGAGTTAAACAGGAGAGACCTTGGCCTATTGTACTGGGGGGAGAAACAATAGTGGGAAGCATTTAAGAGGAGAAGGGTTTTTAAAGAATACGGACAAGATTTTGGATGTGTAACGCCCGTAAAAAGTGACAAGAAATAAGACGCCCTTTAACCAGTTACCTATCGGTTTACACAGCCTTGTGACTTACGTAAATAGGTGTGCTCACCTGGAGCTCTCTTTATTTACTTGCCGGGATGGATCAGGGATTAGAAAAAGGGAGGAGTCCTGGTTAGGATGTCATGGCTCAGATATAGTCAGTCCCAGGAGGCTGGGACCAGCTGTGTGACACTGGCTAGACAGCAGCAGTTGTCCCTAAGTGACTTGAATTATTTAATATGACGGATCTAAATACTCCTAAAATTCTGGGGTGGCATTTGGGAGTGGTGCTTTTGGCATTCTTCAAATCACTGTTCCCATTCTCTGGTAGCGTGTGGCATTCACAGAACACTTTTCTTCTTGAGAACCCAATCTTGCAAACGCTAACAAGGACAGTATGCACTCTACGTTCACAACCAGAGACTTTAAGACCCTGGAAAGAGTACTTCACAGAAAAGGTACTCAGTGAGTGTTGTGGACTGACTCCATGCTGGGCTGTCCGCCTGACTTCTCCAAATTCCAAGAAAGAGACTAGGAAATGTGGATGATTTATTGCCCCCAATGATGTTTCCAGGGCTTTTTCTACCTGTCAATCAAGATGTAAGACAGTGGTTCTCAACCTTGGCTGCACATTAGAATCACCTGGGAATCTTTTTAAAAATCCTGATTTCTGGGCCTCATCCTCCGGAAATTCTGTTTCTTTGTTACTAATGTTGTGGCCCCACCCCATAACGAAGAAACAGAATTTCCAGAGGATGAGGCCCAGAAATCAGGATTTTAAAAAGATTCCCAGGTGATTCTAATGTGTAGCCAAGGTTGAGAACCACTGATGAAAGATCTTCAAAATCACTTCAACCTCAGACTCTTTTTTTTTTTTGCAAATATATTTTATTGATTTTTTTACAGAGAGGAAGGGAGAGGGATAGAGAGTTAGAAACATCGATGAGAGAGAAACATTGATCAGCTGCCTCCCGCACACCCACCACCGGGGACGTGCCCGCAACCAAGGCACATGCTCCTGACTGGAATCGAACCCGGGATCCCTCAGTCCGCAGGCCGACGCTCCATCCACTGAGCCAAACCGGTCAGGGCCAACCTCAGACTCGTATTCCACTTCTCTCAGTGACTCCTGCACCAGCTCTCACAGGCAAGTCGTATTTAATGTTAAGCTCGTTCATGTGGTTGAGTGTCTCACTTAGCAGCCATTTACTTTATGTACCAGGAAAAAAGGCAAGTCCATGGCTCGTCACAAGCTAGTGCCTACATCCCCATTTGCGCTACCAACATAGTTTTTACTTGGCATTTCAGTTGGGACACACAGGTTTTAAGGCAGCATCATTCAGCATCATTCCGCACAGGTAGCACAGGTAGTGTAGGTGGCCAAGAACAATGGCTCTGAGCCAGTTCTGCTACTAATTGGCTATATTATCTTAAGCAAATTACTAAATGTCTTTGTGCCTTAGGTCTCTCATTTGTAAACAGGAATAAGAATACAGTGAGCCCCCCATATCTGTGGGTTCCGCATCCGGGATTCAACCAACCACGGATAGATAATATTCCCCCGAAAAGCTGACATTGTTGTTAATGTGTCCTGTGTAGGTAGGCCTATGATGGTTGCATCTGTAGTGAACATGTACAGATTTTTTTTTCCTTGTCATTATTCCCTAAACAATAAAAGACAACTATTTATATAGCATTTACGTTGTCCTGGGTATTATAAGTAACCTAGAGATGATTTAAAGCACACGGGAGGAAGTGCCTAGGTTATATGCAAATACTATGCCATTGTATAGAGGGGACTTAAGCATCTGCAGATTTCAGTATTCC